CCCCCCTCCGGCCAGCCGCGCTGCCCCCGACCTCAGCCCTTCCCTCCCTCCCTCCTCGGACCAGCCGTGCTACCCCCGGGCCCCTCCCACTCCCACATGAGCTGTGCTACTCCTGACCGACCCCAAACACACGCACCAGCCACACTGCTCCTGATCCCCTGCCCGGGGCACACACCCCACCTTCCCACCTGGGGTTTAAACTCCCCTTGCTTGATGGGGCAGCAGGGTGACGTTGCTGCATCCCTGCTGCCTCTTTCCGTGGTGTCCTAAGACCCACCGGTTTTGGCTGCGCCTGCGTGACAAACCCGGCACGGCGTCCGTTCCCTAGAGCGCCGAAGTGGCGCTCCTTCACTCACGCCCCCTTTGAAACATTAGGGTGTGCCTGGGCATACCCGGCACACCCCATGCGCCCACCTATGATACTGCACGTGGATGGGAAAAGATTAGAGGGAACACTGGTGGAACTCACTTTGTCAGATGGATCTGATGAAATGGGTTCCAGCGTACGAAAGCTTATGCCCAAATAAATGTGTTTTTTAAGATGCCACAGGACACCTCATTTTTGCTGAAACAGACTAACTTGGCTACTTCTCTGCAAATTGTTGAAGGGGTTTATGCTCTTACCTTTGTAAACACAGGTGCGATTCCATAAGAAGACCCAGCCTGACTTGTAGATGGCCTCTGCAGCTGCATAGGAAAGAAAGGTAGAGTTGTGGGTGTGAAATAGCCAGCATTTCTCATGTTCATAAACCCTGAATTTTAAACTCGGGAATCTCCTCCCTTTTTTATCTGCTTTTTTATTTTATTTTATGTGTTAGTCTACTGACTGTTGTGTAGGTAGTTTCCAATCAAGTCTTCCAGAAGAAAATGCCTCCTTGGATTGTGAACAGAAGGTTATTGGAAGCGAGGCCTCTATATCCGTGGTGGTCAGAGACCTGGTGAGACAATTTATGGCCCAAATCTTGCAGTCCTTATTCAGAGGTCAGTTCTGCCTTCGGTTACATCTAGGCAACCTAGCTGACTTCATGGTGGTTGTGTACATGCGACTGAGCATGGAATCGGGAGTCCAGTTCTTGCCTCATTCTTGAAATTCAGCAGAAATAAAGAGGGAGCAGAAGTAGAGCGAGTGCAGGATTATGGCTCATGGAGGCTTTGTCTATACACTGGAAAGGTTTGGCTACGAAAGTGTCATCAACCATGGAAAAGTCACCAAAACTGAATACCTGTCAGACTTATTTCTCTGCCACCTGTTGTCGACATGTCATGGCCACATTGTTAGCACCCCTGTCGACAGAGCAAAGCAATGTGCATAAGCATCCCAGAGTGCCTGGCATCACCATCAGTCACTAAGCACTGTGGGAATATGCAAAGTAGTGCTGTGTTTTTGAGGAACATGAAAAAATCCCATCAGCCACCTCTTTGCTTCCCAGCTCTCCCTGAACTTCTAGCTTACTTTTGCGCCACTTGAATGACCATCTTTGCCACGAAATCTAGCATCTGCTGTGAGAAATCATAGATCCCACAATTTTCTCCCATGTTGTATTCAATGTGCTTAGGACATTGTGCATTGTAGCAGAGCTACTTATTGTTACTTATGAACACTTGGATGTGGACAACAATGTGAGTGTCAGGAATAGCACTGAATTAACATTGCATTGGGTCGTCACAGATATACTGTGCATAGTAGACCATTGCTCTTTGGGCAAGGGAAACCAGTGCTGGATGGTGGGATCGCACTGTCATGCAGGTGTGGGATGAAGATCAGTGGGTACAGAACTTTCTGATGCATAAAGCAGTCTTGTGCTGAGCTGGCCCCTGAACTGTGGCGCAAGGACACCTGCATGAGAGCTGCTCTCTCAGTAGACAAGCGTGTTGCCATTGCGGTGTGGAAAATGGCAACTCCCAATTGCTATGGTTCGGTTGCAAATCAATTTGGAGTGGGGAATCGCTACCATCGGGGCAGCACTTCTGCAAGTGGGCCGGGCAATAAATCGCATTTTGCTGCCTGGGTAGGATTGTGTCTCTGGGAAATGTGGATGACATAGGGGCTGGGTTTGTTGAAATGGGCTTTCCAAACTGTGGTGGGGCAACTGATGGTGCCACCCCACCTTGCTATAGAGACATCAAGCAGAAGGGTTACTTCTCCATGGTGCTTTAGGTGCATGTGGATCGCTGGGGGGTGGTTTGGAAAGGTGCATGATGCACATAGGGGCCTGGTCAGAAAGCTGCAAACTGGGACTTCCTTTCCAGATCAGAAAATTATAGTGGAGGGTGTGGTAATGCCCTTAGTGATCCTAGGTGACGCGGCTTACCCCTGAGAGCTCTGCCTCATGAAGCCTTACTTGGAGCACCTGGACAGCAATAGGGAGCAGCTCAACAAGAGGCTGAGCTGATGCCGCCTGGCTGTTGAATGTGCCTTTGGCAGATTGAAAGGGAAATGGAGGTATCTGTGGCAGGCAGGCAGGCAGGGCTGGTCCTAACCAATTGGCGGCCCTGTAGCGTTGCCAGATGGTTTAAAAAAAAATACCAGACAAAAATTTGTCAAGCCAAAAAAAAGGGTTGGGGGGAAACCTGGGAGGAGGATTCAGGAGGTCGGGCCAAAATGCAGTTGCGGCCCACCCCTAAGACCGGCTTTGTAAGCAGCCCCTTGAAAATGGCAGCCCGGGCACCTGCCCAGCTCGCCCACCCCTGAGACAGGCTCTGCAGGCAGGACGTTTACAGAATCGTATTCCCAAGGCAGTAGCCACATACTGTTGCTTACATAATTGGTGTGAGAGGAAGGGTGAGTTATTGGCTGTGGGTAGAGCAATGAGGCATAGCGCTTGGACACACAGTTTGAAGACTGTCAGGCAAGCCCGTAGGGTGGCCATCAATATCTGGGAAGCTCTGAGGAACCACTTTGACAGTAAGGGGAGCTGTCATTTGTGTGGTTTGGGATTGCTTCCCTTCCTCATCCCACAGCTCATCCTGAGTGAGGTATTCCCTTGAAACCAAGGGGTGTTACAAGCTGCCACAGAGGCCGCAGTGATTGGTGTGAGTTGACTCACACACAATAAACTCATGGAAACCTGCATCACATTTGTCTTTTACTGATGTTTTTCAATCAGATGTTTGGTGATAAAGGAGGATAAGGGTTATTGGAAAACCTCACAATGGTGTTAACGTCCACTTGTTAGTCACAACTGCTTTCACAGGGGGTAGAGTATGCTGGGGTGGGGAGAACCGTTACTGGACTGTGAAAATGAGTGTGTGGGGCATAGAGGGAGGGTTGCTGTGAAGAGTTCTGCATATATTGAAAGTGAGGCCTTTTGGTTGTGTACACTCTGCATCTTGATAAGACATTTCAACGTCTTATGTTGGTCTTCTATGAGCTTTAGCTGCTTAGTGGTTTGGGTGTATGACGGGCTCAGGGCAGGGAGTGGGATAGGTGGAGGAGTTAGAGGAGGGGAAGGAAAGGCAGGAGTCAAGGTTGGGGTGTATGAGGAGAAGGCTCAGGGCAGAGGGCTGGGGGAGTGCGGGGGGGGGGCAAGACCAACATTTCGGGGGGAGGGAGGCTACAGCTCTGCTTAGCCC